ATTATTATTTTTACTACTAAAGTTCAACTGCTAGGTATAAACTTGTGATGGGTGGATTAGAATCAGCTGGAGCTTCACCATCTTCAGTATGTGGGACACCTTGTGCATATGTGGTATCTGGCTGAGTTTGAGCTTCAGGGCCTCTATCATTATTTGTTGCTTCTCCTATATCATCATTGGTTACTTCAGGGCCTCTAATTGAATTTGTTGCTTCAGTACCTCTATCATCATTTGTTAGTATTGTCCCACTATTGATTGCAATTCTACCTTTTTATTACTCAAAAACCATCTGGTTCTCTGATTCATCTCAAATAATTCATCATCATCACTACTTAGAGCCTCTTTAGCTTTACTATTAATTGAAGAAATGGAGTTATCACTATACTCATCCCCTCTTGTAGCAATAGATTATGCATTGTTATTTGCATTCTCATCTACATTGATTGCATCCTCATTATCATTCTCGTTCGCAACCTCATTTGCATTGAATTCATTTGCATTGGCTTCATGTGCATGATACTTGTTATTAACATTTGCAAACTCATCAAAGAAGCAATCATCATCCATTTTATCATCATCCATAGGCTTAGTCAAGTCAATTTTATATGTTTCATCCTTAACCGAGTCATTGCTTTCAGTAGAGGATGAATTTTGATCAACACTTTGTGCTACATTTAGTGGAGTAGGAGATCTAAGTTCTGTCTAAGGGTTTTGTGAGATGTGAAGTTTTCTTTTGGGGTTAACTTCTTTCTATGACATACTTTCTTCATCTTTGTGGAGGTTTCGTGCATAGGATTGAGTATAGAAGATGATGAAGATGGATGAGTAACACCCTCCAATGGTATCTCAACCTCTGAGGGTACATCAATCATGTGATCAGCAAAAACTTTAATAGCTCTATGACTATTAGCATGCACTAACATTTCCATTAAGTGATTGACTGAATTTAGAACTCTCAAACTCCAACTGCCAGGTATAGTATAATACAGAGTTTGCACTTTATTGCAACTATATTTTTTCAAAAAGATTTTCTTAGCAATGGTAAAGAAGCTACCTATGTTTCAATGAATTCCACATCAAAATCCCCTCCAATATATTCAAAAGCACCCCAGACCCAAATAGTAGCTAACCACCATGCCTAAATTTCATCGTAACACACCTAGACATCTGCAACAAATTAAGAAAACCAAGCTCAAAGCATGCAAATTGGCAAATATTATCGTAATTGTAGGACACATTTTCACAAACTCATAAATTCATGAACCCTAAAATCTATTAATCAATGCAAGAAAATAATTCACAAAAAAACCCCATAATTTTCATGAAAGGTAATTGATAAACCATCTACTACTTTAATAACGAAAAAAACCCTAATTTGATGGAGTTGAACATACCTTGGGGAACCATTACAAGGACCCAGATTTGAATCCTCAACCTCTATCCAAGTTACTCCTTCGTGACCACATTGATCCTCTCTCTCTTCCCTTTGTCTTCCTTCTATCCGTGATAAGCAAAAATTGGGGAAAGATTATGATCCTCGCATATTTTTTTCATTCTATTTGTGGCGGAGAGAGAAAGGGGAAGTAGCGGTAGTTACTACCCTACCTAACTCATGCCATGTCATGCAAGCTGTGCCACATTAGCTTTTAATTTCGTTTAAACCGAGTCACGTGCCATCACGTGAGTATTTTGCCACTCTTAATTGGTCGTCAACAATTGGAATTACTTTAATAGAAAATTGTGAATCACTAAATATACATTGTTATCACTGATATATCTTGTTGGTATGATGGTGACACTAAGGGGGTGTTTGTTTCTCTCATTTTGAGGAAAAAAAATAGGATTTGGAGCTGACAGTGGAAAAATCATAATTTATGGATTCTTTATCAATCCTAATCTTGAGTTTGGCTCAAAATTTTTTATAGATTCTAAAATCCATAAAGTTACAACAGTATGGATTTTTTATGGAAATCCAAATCCAAGCTTTTTGAGAGGATTTGGGTTGAAAAGCTGACAACGGCTGTACGATCTCCATTTCTCTTCCATTTTAGGATTCCATCTCTTCGCGAACCCTAGATCTGGAATCGGCAACTCCCCTTATTCTTGTCCTGCCTTTTCTCTTTGCACCTCCTCTCCCGCTGTTCTTCGATTTCCTTTTCGTAGACAAGGCGCAGCCATTGTTGTCAGGTTTTGGACTTCTCGAACTTGACATTCGGTTCGCGGGGTCGATTTCTGTTGGTGGGTTTGGTGGGTTTGTTGGCTTGTGTTGCTCCTACACTTTGGGTTTATTGCTGTCGGTTTTGACACTCAGACACGAGCTTGTGTTGATCCTTTGCTTTGGCTATGTTGCATCTACTTGGAGTTTGTGTTGCTCCTCAACTTTGGGTTTATTGCTATCAGGTTGAGCAAACGTTGCTCATTTGCTTTGGGTTTATTACTGTCGGTTTTGAAGCTCAAACATGAGCTGGTGATGCCCTTTTTTGTGAGTTTTTGCTGCTGTCAGGTTTTGAGCTGTTTTGAAGCTCAAACATGAGCTGGTGATGCCCTTTTTTGTGAGTTTTTGCTGCTGTCAGGTTTTGAGCTTGTATATCCCCTTTGCTTTGGGGTTTCGGATGTCAGGTGGAGCCTGTGTTGCTCCTTTGCTTTCGGTTTATTGCTATGCTCGTTTGAGCTTGTGTTGATCCTTTGCTTTGCCTATGTTGCATCCACTTGGAGCTTGTGTTGCTCCTCAGTTTTGGGTTTATTGCTATCAGATTGAGCATACGTTGCTCATTTGCTTTGGGTTTATTACTGTCGGTTTTGAAGCTCAAACATGAGCTGGTGATGCCCTTTTTTGTGAGTTTTTGCTGCTGTCAGGTTTTGAGCTTGTATATCCCCTTTGCTTTGGGGTTTCGGATGTCAGGTGGAGCCTGTGTTGCTCCTTTGCTTTCGGTTTATTGCTATGCTCGTTTGAGCTTGTGTTGATCCTTTGCTTTGCCTATGTTGCATCCACTTGGAGCTTGTGTTGCTCCTCAGTTTTGGGTTTATTGCTATCAGATTGAGCATACGTTGCTCATTTGCTTTGGGTTTATTGCTGTTGGTTTTGAAGCTCAAACATGAGCTGGTGATGCCCTTTTTTGTGAGTTTTTGCTCCTGTCAGGTTTTGAGCTTGTATATTCCCTTTGCTTTGGGATTTCGGCTGTCAGATGGAGCCTGTGTTGCTCCTTTGCTTTCGGTTTATTGCTATGCTCGTTTGAGCTTGTGTTGATCCTTTGTTTTGCCTATGTTGCATCCACTTGGAGCTTGTGTTGCTCCTTAGCTTTGGGTTTATTGCTATCAGGTTGAGCATATGTTGCTCATTGACTTTGGGTTTATTGCTATCGGTTTTGAAGCTCAAACATGAGCTGTTGATGCCTTTTTTTGGTGAGTTTTTGCTGCTGTCAGGTTTTTGTGAGTTTTTGTTGCTGTCAGGTGGAGCTTGTGTATCTCCTTTGCTTTGGTTTTTTATTGTTATGTTTCACTCTTGCTATGTTCCCCTTTGCTTTGGCTATGTTGCTGTCGGTTTTGAAGCTCATTCATGAGCTTGTGTTGCCTCAGTCGGTGAGTTTTCATGCTGTCAGGTGGAGCCTGTGTACTCCCTTTGGTTTGGCTATATTGCTGACAATTTTGAATCTCTTTCATGAGCTTGTGTAGCTCCTTGCACTAGCCATGTTGCTTTGACTATGTACTTTTTGATGTTATTATGTTGCTATCGGTTGATAAATTGCTGGAGCTTGTGATGCTCCATAGTTGATATTTGGCAATAATGATTAGCGTTTACTGAGAATGCAATCTAACTTACAGTGTTTATTTTATTCAGATCAGGCAATATGTGATGAGATTGTAGTCTACATTGAATTAACAATGTCTAGGTGAGGTAATCAATCATTAGAATACAATCTACTATAAACCTGTAAGTTATAGGTGGGGCATTTAATTTTGACAAATTGTCCTATTCCTGAGCCATACAATATCAACTAGAATTGGTACTCAATTCCAATAACAGTTTTCATTGTAATATCAATAGTTTTTGCAAGTACAATTACATGACATGCGATTTATAATAATTAAAATAATATAAAAAATCTCTAGTAAAATTGCTGAAATTTTCCAAGCTAATAGTTGATTTTCGACAAGTCTCAATTCTTTTTCATCCTCTTTGATTTCAAGAAATACTTATCTCCGTACCTATTTGCGCTGACACATAGGTTCCCTTGGTTGCTTATATCTCCTCTTTCATCAGCCCATTTGAAAAAAATTGTATTTTTTATTTGGGAATTTTGCACACCCCTAATAACACCTCCCCTTATTTTTACCATTCTTGCACACTTTCATGGGTGTTCGGAGATTGCAGTCGCAACAAACTTTATTTTGGGGGCATTCTTCTGATAACATATTAATGTCGGGGAGGCTAATTGTAAACAATGAGAATTTATAAAAGTGGTAAGAATGAAGGATACATTGGAAAAATAAGCCCTCAAGTAAAATTTATAGCCTCCAAGGCCTTGGAACTAGCCGTTGGAACTACCTGTTGCTACAGTGTTTCAGCTTTGAATATTGAACTAGCCGTTGGAACTAACCGTTGCTACAATGTTTCAGTTTTGAATATTGTCAAACGGGTAAGAATAATTATGGTGTACTCACCCTTTATCTGAAAATTTTCTTATTCCAAACCAAACTAAAGATTAGGAATTGGAGAGTTTCTATAAAGTTAAATTCTATTTTTCTATGTTATGAAACAAACATAGAAAAAAAAGGATTTCATGAATCTATAAACTTGTCTTAAATTTTTTTATGGAATAGATAGGAATCCATAAAAAAAAGAGAATTCCTAATCCTATTCTTGTCCACTAATGAACCAAACAACCCCTAAATACACCAAAATGGTAATTTAGCCTTTAAAAAAGTGCATTCTAATACCCAACTTGAATCTAGAAACCCAGCCCAATACCGGCCCAATTATTGCCCGACAACCTGATCACCTCGCGTTCCTCCGCTCCGCCGCCTTCACCCCTCTTTCCTCTTCCTTATTCAACCAAAAATTACACAGAATTCGAAGAGAGCGTTAAAAAATCTCAGCAAATTTTTGCAGGGAAAAAAAATGGTGAGCAAGAATCAGAGATTAGCCCGAAAGCGATTCAAAGAAGAAAACCCTAACCTGTTCCCGACCCCCGAGCCCTCGAACGAAAACCCTACGTCGAAGAAGAAGAAGAATAGCAAGAGGAAGGCCAAAACCCTAAACCCCAAATCGGATGCCAAGAGGAGGCGAAGCGGGTCCAAGCACCCGTTAAGAGTCCCGGGCATGAGACCCGGAGAGAGCTGCTTCATCTGCAAGTCCAAAGATCACATCGCCAAGCTCTGCCCTGAGAAATCTCAGTGGGAGAAGAACAAGGTACAAACTTCCCAGCTTTTTGTTGCACTTTCACTGATTTCAGAAATATCTTGAATTTTTTTTTAACTTTATGAATAGTGATTAGTGATTAGTAGAGTATAAGATTTATACTTCCCATGTACTGTAAGACGCAAAAATGTGAGAATCTCAATGAAATTATGAGTTTCTATTTAATCCTAACCTCATTGCAATTAAAATGACTAATTATTCGCCTTGCAAATGCAAAGTGCTTAAATTTGACATTAAACTATAGCAAAAACACTCAGTTAAATAATGATCATAGCCAAGAATGCAATTTTGAACGATGATGTGATGGTGAAACTTTGAGCTGTTTTTTGGGTGTATTTAACTTCAGTTTTTAAAATCCAAAGTTGGTGAAACTTTGTTATATCAAATTGCTTTTAATCATTCCTTTTATTCGTGTTTTGTAATTGGGGTTAGGGATTTTGTGTTTTGAGTGTATGTGTGCATTGTGAATGTGATTCATGCAGATTTGCTTGTTGTGTCGACATCGAGGGCATAGTCTCAAGAATTGTCCACAGAAGAGCGAGAAGACGGAGAGGAAGTTTTGTTATAATTGTGGGGATGCTGGACATGCTCTTTCTAAGTGCCCTCTACCCCTTAAAGATGGTAATTTTAGTGAAGATTTGCTTGTTTCTGGTTAATTTTCAAGTTTTTACCGTTGTGTTTTTCTTATATAATTTTGCACAATTTGATAATATGCAGTAACATGGATGCTAATTCTAGTACTTTGTCCTTAGTATTGTTCTAGATAAGCAACGAAGAGGCTTAATTGTTTTTTAGTGAAAAACAAAGTTTTTATTGTTGAGGTGATGGATTAGAAAATGATGTGAGATTTTTCTAGTCACTTATGCATTATAGACTTCATCAAAGTGTCCAGATAATTACCACAGTTGAATAAAGGTTATGCCTTTCCATTATGCAGACAAATGGCATAATAATTCTATATAGTTGGTGCACTTGCACGGCGTATTACACAAAAAGCTACATTTTTTCTTCTTCCACTCTTTAGAACCCAAATCCTATCCAACTAACGCAACTGAGTGAGACCAGCAAACCAATTAATAAGACCCTAAGGGAATACACCTGCCTGGTAGCCAGTTCTCTCCCGCAACTAATGAGGCGATCCCCATTTTTCCTTCCTTCTCTCACGAGGCACAGTCTAGAACTGTGGAGATATGTACAATTCTATTTTCCATTCTCAACCTCTTTGTTTTGTTTATTTTGCAATTGTTCTCATATGTCTCTCTCGATGCTTCATGAAATGGCTTTTGTTGTCTTTCAAGTTTTTAAATTTTTTTAGCAACTGTAGAACAATTACTTGCCATATAACCACTTCGAACACACGAAAGAATTTTATAATGGCAATTTTGTTTTCGAGTTGTTGTTAGTGTTGTTTCGTGATTAGATTATTATATTGAAAATTAGCTATGCGAGCTATAATTAATATAATATTGTTAGATCGAATTATTCTACTAGGTTTCGATATTGGAAAGTTTATCATATTGTCTCTTTTATGTCTTCCATTTATTATCGTACTAATTGTCCTGTTGAAACATTATATATGTCTCACTGTGAAGGAAATTGTTTATCACCTTGTTTAAGATTTAGGTTCAATTAAGGCCTTGTTTGGGATGTTGGGACTTCTCACAGTCATAATTAGAGCCTCGTAGTGCTTGCATGTAGTTTAGTTTTCACCTGAATTCATTCTGTGAACTGATACAAGGAGCAACTGTTGTAGAAATATATTGATCAATCTTTTGCAGCTTGAGTGTCCCCTCAGTATTTGGGGTTAATTTTGGCCTAATATGGAGATGCCATATCTATATTCTACCAAATTGTGACATGGAGTCAAACTGACACATCTAACTCCATTATACGATATGTGTAAATTAATTTATCTTGTGTCAGCCTGTTACTTATAAGTTGCTCTCTGATCATTATATTTGTATCTTCAATTTGGCAATTGTATCTAATTGGATAACTTGGTCATATTTATCAATAATCAGTCCTAAAACCATAACCTTAAATATATTGGGTTAGATGATGAGACCACGTATTTAGCAGTATCTATCTCCAGTTGGTTTCTATTTCTTATTTTTCTTTTCTGGATGCAGGTGGTACAAAGTTCGCTAATTGTTTCATCTGTAATGAGCGTGGACACCTTAGCAAAAACTGTCCAAAAAATACACACGGAATTTATCCAAAGGTACTTTATGCCTTAATATCTAATTTATTGTTAGGTATGAAACTAGAAACTTTCTATAATGACTCCTCAGGCAAGGAAGCTAAGTTTTTGATACACAAAGATTATTAGCTTGAAATAGCTTGCTTCCATGAAAAATGTGGTATATATGATTATGAAACTAGTATTTCAATTTAGTCTACAGAATTAACCTTTTTATGTTCTGCAGTCACAGAATTTGTGTAACTTTTAATTTTGATTCTATAGATCACAACTCAAGGACAATATCAAACTCTCAGTTTATGTGATATCATGTAAGAAAGAGTTAAACATCTTACGAGTTACGAGGCCAGAACGGATAAACAATTTAGATTTTCTTTGGAGTTTACTTAGCATTACAAGTCGGTGCTGTTGTTGCTTCTGTGTGATTGTCATTCTTCTCATGTCTACACACTTTTATGAAGTTATTGGGTGTCTACTAAGTTCTCATGGCATTACCAAGTGATAATACTTGCACATATGTTTCTGAAGACATTCCTGACTAAGTTTTATAGTATTATGCCTGATAATTATTAAAGAAAGTAGATATTACTAGTATCTGCTATTATATGCATAAAGCTCTATTTGTAGTCTAATTTGATTGAAGAATAACAAGGATACTGGATGTATGAAGATGGTCATCTAAAAGGTGCATCCTGAGTATGATTTCTCACAATTGATCTCCTGTAGTATAGGCAAATAGAAGAATGGTATGCTCATAAACTAAAAAGTATTCTAATTAGAATAATTAATAAGATTGTTTGAAAGAATTACCATGAGAAAGAAGAATATCATACATTTTAAAAGTTAAGTGTGAACAAGCGATATCCGATGCAGTGGAACATTCCTTGAACTCGCGAAAGCAAAGAGAAGAATGGTATGCTTATAAACTAGTCACAGGTTCCTCTGTTTAGAATTATGAATAAGATTGCTTTGAAAGATTATCATGAGAAGAGGAATATCATACACCTTTAAAGTGCAGTAGTCTCAAGTGATATCAGATGCAATGAACCACTCCTCGAAGTTGTGACACGAGTATGTAATGTGGAGCTAGGTCATTGATTACCAACAGAAGGCACACAAGGCAAAAAAACCTCTCAGAAAAGGTTGGTAAGAAGAACTTGGTTTGCAAATGAACTGGATTAAAGGCAGAAGAGGAAACAGTCTCACGAACAAGGATGAGAAGGAATATTTTAGAAAACTGGAAAATGTGATATGCACCTATAAAGGAACTAAATAGTAACAAGATGTGTCTGCACATATGAAATAGCAATCCACAGCAATTGAAGAGCATCTTGTATAGGGACGTTGGATTAGCTGGTTTCTCAGGACTCCCTCTTTTGACCTAGCCAAAATGCCTAAAACATTTCCTGTCATTTTGCAAATCACGTGGATATGTCATAGCATGTGCAACGCACACACAACTTAAAATTAAATGGTATCAGTATAAATAGTGCAAATTTGACCTGTGAATGTCACAGTCAAAAAGACAACAGGGTTATAACTTTTAAGTGACCTTTTGCATATGCAATACCTTTTTTTTTGTTGATATTAATTTGCAGTATCATGATGAAGGGTGTTAATGCACCTTCTCTTTTTATAATCTCCGTACCAATTATAGTGGTTATATGATGTTAGCCCAAAGTCTCTCCGGCCGTCAAACCGAAGCAAAATAAAAACGAATTAGAAAACCCAACCCCCCTTGTCTTATGGGAAGGAGATAATGTAGACGCACCTGATTTCTCCGATTATCGAGCAGTAGACGTGAATGAGATGTGGCGATATTTAATTTCAAGTAAGACATACAAGTGAATTTAGGAATACTTCAAGCAACTAGTGGGTCTGAGATCTCTGGGTAAGTCTACATGTTGCCTTGTTATACTCAACACGCAACATGTACAAATTTGGCAAATGCTCTTCTTTTATATCAGTTTAATAGGTCATTCTTCTCAATTGTTTGATATGCTGGAACACTCACGAATATTTGTACAATTATGACGTCTATTGAGTTATTTGTACTCCTCGTAGGGTGGTTGTTGTAAAGTATGCGGTGGAGTGACGCATTTGGCGAAGGACTGTCCAAACAAAGGAACCAGGAATTCTCTCTCTTCTATGGGAGCAAATGGATGTAAGTTTTCTTGGTTATGTCTTTTCCAATCCATGCGTACTATCCAATTCAAATTCTGCGTCGAAAGTAAACATTTTAGTTATTTCAGCAATATGCTTTTTTTGTTAATATTTGTGCAGCTTTCCTACCTTGATATTAAGGGTTGCAAATTTAATTAAGTCGGATTTTTCAGTTGGTGATCTTCCAATATAATTAAGTGTTGCCCACATAAAGCTCCTACCCGCAACTGCTAAATTGAGCTTATTAGCTTGATGCTGTTCAGTTTTCTATTTATATCCTTATATTTATCACCTGAGTTCTTTGTTAGAACTTTTTTGGCTTATTATCCACTTGGCTTATAATTCATTTGTGGATTATAAGCCAAGTTCCCAAGCATGTCCTAAATGTGTTAGATGTGTTTAGATGATATTGGATTAAACAATTAGATAGGCCAATCTCATTAGTTACTACTAAATGCCTAAGTTGTGTTTAAACACCAACTGGAAACATTACAAAAGCCAAATACATGTCTAATACAATACAGAAAGGATCGCCTAGAAAGCTGAACTTACTTCTAAATGCCTAAGATGTGTTTAAAGCAATATTGGAAGGAACAATTAGAAGAACTGACCTTACTATTGAATCTCAAAATGAGATTTGCTATGACATTATATATAGTAAAGGCGATCAGAAAAGAACTAGGTTATAATGTCCTTAATTTGTCCAAAAATTAAGTCTTTTTTGTTCCCCATAGATGCTGAGAATGTTTTAAAGTAATTTGTTACAGTTAGTTTAGCTGTTAGCATTAATGACGATATTTCTTTTACTTCTAGCTCGCAACCTCGAGGAAAGTGCTCAAGGGAAGCGGACCATCTTCCACAGTGGAGATGATCTCGAGGATGATTTTATGGTAGAAGATGATAAGACTAGCAAACATGTTGTTGCCCACTCAGAGACGGGGCTTGTCACTGTTGAAGGTGAAGTTAAAAAGGATATTCATGTAAAACTTAAGAAAAAGCAGGGCCCCAAAGTGGTTAACTTTTTTGGTTGATCGCATTATTTTGTTCACGGCATCTCCGAGTATAACAAAAGATTTGGATTAGGATGGTTGCGGCAATCAGCTAACTTCACCATATCGGTTGCGTTCCAAAGCGATTACGAAAACTGAAGAAGAGCTACTTGGATCAAGTAGTTCAGCTGATACTGAGATTTTGTAGATCAAGAGTTTTGAAATCATGTTTTTTGACTTTTGTTAGAAGAAAACTTGTGTATTTTTTGAGTTAAAGGGAAGGTTCAAAGGGATGGTAATTGTGTTGTACTCTGATATGTGTTTGAGTAACGCTTGTTTTGTTAATGAGTTCATGAATTAGCACGAAATGTGTGAAGTATTTATTAGTGTTACCGAGCTCAAAGATTTTGGATCAACTGTAGAACGCTCTTGATGTTATGATTTTATGATTGAAGTCCACAATTTTGTTCAGATTTTTGAATTGCATGAATACAAAACTGGTATTCATGGAGCGGATCTCAAAATTTTGCGATAAACACGTTGTTGTTGTGTGGTGGTGGTTATTGTTGTATTCCCTAAATGCACGAACTACATAATACTCACGTCAGTGTTTATTTGATGACTACGTATCTGCTGTATCAGTTTCCATTAACCAAATGAGATTGCAGTGTTTGTCTCACAAAAATGTATTGATTAACTAAAAGCTCCATTGAAGTGATAAAGTAAAAATAAACCAAACTTCTATTCCAATGAAGCTTGTCAAAATAAAGTTTTCCAATAAAATTCAATAAAATTCTAAATGAGAGTAGTACTCCGCAAACGTATTTGAGTATAGAAGAGGTGCGTTGACACGTCAATAATGTCTAATGTCTTAAAATTAACTTCGGAATCAAGATTGAAACAGTCTAAACATTTCAACATGTCAAAGGAAGGGGAGTAAAAGCAATAAATATCTAGAACTGTTGTCCACAAAAAACCCATAAAAGTTTTTCGTGCCCAATATTTTAATTTCATGATCCTTCAATTATGTTCGAGAAAAGGAGGGGAAAAGGGGGTACATGCTCTCAAGAAGAAAAGAAAGAAAACAACAGACAGACTTAATACACATTGTGACAGTATTGCTAACTTGCTTTGAACCAATCACAATCTTGATATCAAAGCTAAACATAAGCTACTTACCTGAAAGCGTCCACTATGATAAAAATACAGGCCAAATTAATCAAATGAACTAGTAAAATGTGATGTTCCAACAAGAGATGCTGCTTTCTTCTCCTTCTCGCTGCTTTCGTGTGGCTTGAAATTTTACGATATGGCTCGTTCTTTTACGATGTCCATGCTCATCTCGCTTGGATCAGTAGCCTGCAACTCAACTTGAATACCATCAAGCTCTCTCTTGAACCTATCCTTGGAGCTCGCGTACACCATCTTACTCCTCACCTTTGATGTGTCTGGAGACCTGCACATCAAAGTTTTAATGAAACTACTCAAGATAGTTCTGCTCCTCTCTTTTTAAAAAATAAATAAAATAAGATAAAATAAAATCCAAAATCTTGGCCACAGGTTATAGAATCTCATGTCTTAGATGATTAATAATTGCCTCCCATTTAGTATGTCAATAGTCTGTTACTCATACCATGCACATTAATGAGACACATTTGTTGAAGTTGGAGTAAACATGAACAATATTTTCAGATAAACAAGTAATAGAGTAGCTATCGCATATAACATTCATGCGACCAGTTACAATTGTTTTAGTACATGGTAAAATAAAAGAAACCATGTTCTTTTAATTTCTAATTAATGACTTACACGCATGTGTAAAATCTCCTCTTTCTTACTTTCTTAGAGAACCAATGCATATAAATGGCTGGGTTTGCTAGATCTGAAATAAGGGTAACAATGAACAGAACTATAAGTCCTAAATCTTGGTTGAACACACCTCCAACTAGGACTTAGGAGGGTGCTTGAGGGCCCATTTGGTTGGGTAGATTTGAGATGGAAATGGACTATAGAGCTGCCAAAAGCGTCAGCTTTTGGCAGCTTTACAGCAAAATCGCCTCTTAAAGAGGCGATTTTGCTGTAAAGCTGCCAAAAGTGTCTACAGTCCTTTTCTCCCTCCATTTCACCCAACCAAACGGGTCCTGGGAGTTTGTTGGAGCATCTTAAGAGCTTTTTTCTTACCACATCACCCTTAGGAGCCTTCTTGAGAGGCTCTTGGAGTAAGTCCTAAATCTTGGTTGAACTCGTTGATTCTTGTCTACATTTGACTTTTCCCCTCCTAAAAATCTAAACCTCCACACTCAAATTTATTATTTCCCCTACTTAAACATTCCTTATCATTGCCCATTTTATAATAAATCTCTTCATATCTAATTAAACTCACTGTGGAAAACTTGTATACACGCGAGACATCGCAAACTCACAGCCCAAAAAGAAAGGCACAGGTCTCAAACTTACACTACCTCACATAATTACTTACTTACCAAGCAACAAAGATGATCTTGCTCTTCTGGCAGTTCTCGATAGTGACGAAGTCGAAATCAAACACGGCGTACCGGCACTCATTGTGCGGCATGCACGCGGTGAAGTCGTCGTAGGTCTCCCCCGGCTTCCCCAGCTTGTCGATCAGGACCTTCTGAGCCGCCTCATCGATCTTGAACACGATGAACCGGTAGTTCCTCCTAGCCTTCAGCTCCAAGAACTTGAGCTTGCACTCGTCGTCCACCGCGATACCCGATGCTGAATTTGCCTGTAAATAATGGAGACAGAATAAATGAAATGCTAGAAGAAGTAAAAAGATACTCGGAAATGGCATATATAAGAACAACGTCCGCTGAAAAAATAAAGTAACTGAAATGCTAACATTCTCTAGTATAAATTTTTTTTTTCTCCTTTACTTATTTCTTTCTATAAAAGGAAAGAGAATAAATGAAATGCTAGATTACACTCTATGGATTGGAGAAGATCCGACCATTGCGACGTGAGCATAACAATTAGGCCATAGAATGACTACAAGAGGTAATGAGCAAATTGAAATTGCTAGACATAATAAATTTATACATGTAATATAAATGATGGAAAAAATTGAACTCACCATGATTGAGATTGAGCTAGGAATGAGAAAGGAGGATGGAGGAGAAGGATATGTTTTCTTTAAAGGAGATTGGTTTGAGGAGAGGAGAGGAATTTGAGGGAGGAAAAAAAGTTGGTTGTTGGATTTAGAGCGAGTCATAAGGAGAGCATATTAGGCGCTCCTTCTCTTGTTTGATTGTGTACGTGGGTGGTTTAAACATTTTGTATTTGCATGAAAACTTTAGGTTCATTGGTTTTGGACTGTGCATGAGTAGCCAAGCACCGCAACAAAGCCAATACATGAGACCAGATCATCTACAGCTCAGTTGTAGAGAATGCCTACAATTATTTATGTGGGCTAATACTATTGGTTTGTTTCAGTGGGCCCCACAAAAAAAGTTTTTAATATAATTTAGATAAAGAAATATAATTCATAGGGTTCACTGGGCGAAGAGATGTTATATATTGGTGGATTGTAGAGTTCCTCTACAACCAAGGGTGTAGAGGATCCCTAGGCGACAATACATAGGATTCAGATTCTCTAGGCTACTACTTAATCATAATCATTGATTATTTAGTGAGTGGTTATGATTTTTTCTTTGAATGCAAATTAACAATGAGTGTAATATGCGAGCGAGGTTATGATAGTATTAGATTTAGAATGTATTATAATCACCAACTAGATAATCAATAGTTGGGATTAGAAGTAGTGGTCTTCTCCACTATGTTTTTAGTGGAGAGGATCCAAAAATTCCAATATGTGTAGGCGTGTTTATATCACAAGGGTTTCAAGTGAGATAGATTCTTGCAGGGCGAGTTTAATGAAATGTTTTCTCTTCAAGAAACCACCTTAAAAATAGAATAATTATAAAAAACCATATTTAAAGTGAGTTTTTCACCTTCCAGTCAAATTTTCACTAAAAAACTAAAAAATAAGTTAAAAAAATTCAAGCTCAAGGTATGATGTATCCTATCAAGACCTAAACATTAGAAAAAAACGAGTCACATGCACTGAGTGTGAGTTTTTTAAGGATATTTTTTAAGTTGGTTTCTGGGAAAGAAAAAACCCTAATGGTCTTATCATCAGAGTGATTCTAATTATTTGTTTTCTGAGTAACAAGGGCCAGATGTTCAAAACTTATTGACTATAAGAAGATATAAAATATACACAAGGTGGAAGGGAGACAAAAATGAGTGGTACAGAAGGTGGAGATAAGATGAAAGATCAGAAGACAAAATGATATTAATATTGCTTCATAAACTTATTGTCTATTCGGTGGAAGGCGATGTGATTAGACAACGAATCACATCAAAAAGATTTAAGTTTCCATTTTGATTTTGATAGAGCATATAAGAAGATGGATTTTTATCATACACAAGACAAGATTATGCTTATTTATACATCTTTTAAGTTTATACGCTATAAACCTTAAAAAAGTCTAATCGAATCTTGCACACGATAACTTCTAAGGGTGGTAGACGGACAAAGTATTTTGCACCACGGTCCATCCAGAAAATTATTCAATTTGGTGAGGACCCAGTTTTACTCATTTTTGCGTATCAATGTTTTTATGTTGCAACATATCAGTGTTTGTAAATATATTGTTGACAGTTACGCATCAGAGGTGATTTTGTTAGGAACTAACCCTAGCACCTTGATGTGTTTTCTAGTTCTGATAAATCCTTCATTTCTTGTTCTGATAAATCATTCATTTATTGTTCTGATAAATCTATCTTATACGGACTCATAGAAAAGTAACTTAATAGCTAATTTTATGAAAGGAGGCGACAATTCATACACAACATATACCAGTGTAACTAAGTTTAGAAGGAAGAAGCTCAAAGAAAAAGAATAATTTCTTCACAAAATCTGGATTAAAAGTTATATAAAGTAAATCTAAAATCAATCCAATAAGAAAAATAGAAAATAAAAGAAAAAGAATATTCATCAGAAATTCTAGAGTTTTTACGGTGCACTGGAAAAATATCGGACTCGGATCTTCCGACCCGTTTCCAAGTAGGCGACCAATTTTACCATCCGCAAAATTCAACGCTTCCGCTCGTTCGAGTCAAAGCCACCACCGCGTTCCTTCTCTCTCCTCCCCGCTTTAAATACCCCCGAACCCGAATCTTCTCATCGAACCTCTCTCAAAACTCAATTTTTTTTTTTAATTTTCTAAATTCCCCCAAAATCTCTAAAATTAGGGCTCAGATCTCCCAATTTCCCACCAGTTTCACTCAAAAATGCTTGAACAGCTCCTAATCTTCACAAGAGGCGGCTTAATTTTATGGAAGGAGATCAGCAACGCGCTCAAAGGATCCCCAATCGAAACCCTAATCAAGTCCTGCCTCCTCGAGGAGCGATCGGCAGAGGCCTCCTTCAACTACGACGCCGGAGGCGGCGGCGGGGCCTACACTCTGAAGTGGACCTTCAGCAACGATCTCGGCCTCGTGTTCGTCGCCGTCTACCAGCGGATTCTCAATCTCTTGTATGTTGAGGATCTTTTAATGGCGGTTCGCCGTGAATTTGAGCAGATCTATGATCCGAAGCGGGTGAAGTATGATGATTTTGATGAGATCTTTCGGCAGCTGAGGGAGGAGGCGGAGGCGAGGGCGGAGGAGATTAAGAAGTTGAAACAGTCTGGGAAGAATCAGAATGTTTTGTTGGGGAAGAAGGGTGGTGTTGGATCACAGATGAACAAGAAGAAGAATGGAAAAATTGGTCACGGTGACGGTAATTCTAAGAATAAGGATGATGGAGATGGGGATGAGAATAAGGAGAATAATGGGGCGAAGGAGTCCCGATCCATTACTAATGTTGTTGTGAAAGATAAAGAGAATGGGAAGCCCGAAGCGGGGGCTTTCGATGTAAATAAGTTACAGAAATTGAGAGCTAAAGGAGGAAAGAAGACCGATACTAATACTAATACGGGTGTTTTTGGTGGGAATAATAAGGGCATGAAAGGGGAGGTGAAGAAGATTGTGAAGAAGAACAGGGTTTGGGATGATTCGAAGAAGGAGAATGTCAAGCTGGATTTTACGGATCCGGTTGGTGAAGGAGGGGATGAAGTTCGAGAGGTTGTGGCGGTGGATGAGGGTGAGAGTATGATGGATAAGGAGGAAATTGTGAGCAGTGAGGGTGAGGATGATGATGATGAGGAAATGGAGAGTGCTAAGCCTAGTGCAAGGAAGAAGGGTTGGTTCTCATCAATGTTCCAAAGGTATAATTAGTTTTCTTTCACCTTTTTTTGTTGGCATATGGATATGTTAGATATTGTGAGTATGAAATTTATGGTTCTAGATCAGCTTGTGTTTCCTTTGATCATCTCATTTTGTGTATATCTGTTAGTGTTTCTTTGTTGAGATCCCTCTCTTATATTCAGGTCATCAGAGATTCATAATTATCATGTCTTTCAACGTTATTTCACATGGTTGATTTGCTGTTAGAAGATCTCTTGTTTAGGGAGGCTTCGATCCAACATCATTTAAGATATTTGCACTTAGAGTTGGGGAATTCTACAAAATTCTTGTTTGAAGTCTTAATAAACTTGCTTGGCCGGTCATATAGATTTAAATTGGCAAATTGTGTATGCAAGTGTTACAGATGTTAACTCTTCAACAATCACAAAAAAGATCTACATAAGATAAAAATTGTGCATTCCTGTTCAGTTTCAAACTTTACAAGATGCCTCTTGAAGGTGAGGCCAATATTTTGATTCACATTCAACTGAAATGCCTTAGCTTTTAAAGTTTGTTGATTGTTCATTTGTCGAACATGATACTATAGCATATTTTTTTGCACTATGTCCATGTAGATATTTTGATGTATAATATCTGTTTGTGTTTGCCTTGTGCGTGAATGATTTTTCTGCATTATATTTTGATCTCTATTTCTATTTTACTATGCATCCAATTAAATATATCAATTTGGGTTTGTATTGATGGTTACATTTTGGTATGTTTGTGATCTCAGCATTTCAGGAAACACTGTTTTGGAGAAGTCAGACTTGAAACCAGCACTAAAGGCCCTCAAGGATAGGCTGATGACTAAAAATGTGGTATGTTTATCTGCTCATCTGCTATTCTCGTTTTGCAATTGTTAACTTATGCTTATTTATCAATATAAAGAATCTATGATCTTTACCATTAGTCCAGGGTTTCAGGATGCATTTCCTACTAGTCAAACATTTAGGGTTTGAGGATGCATTTCCTACTAGTCAAACATTTGTAAACTTCGTGGTTGGATTATAAATGTAAAATATATGTTACTGGGGTACTCCTAATTTGAAGATGTACCCAGACCGGACCCGTACCCGTACCCATACCCAGACTCCTTGCACACTCCTTTCATATATGCATACATTTATTTGGGCTTATACTCAATTATGTAATACATGTTTTAATTTTAAATAGTTATCATACATTTTTTGGATGTATATCCTATACTTCACGTCCACTTCTGGAAAGTTGTTAGACATAGGTCAGCTTCCGAATTATGTTGTTGAAGGGTTGTTTGGATGTCTAGTTCAGAAACTAGTGATTTTTTAATTTATAATCCACATGATAAAAGAAGCATAAAATGTTATAGAAAATTTAATTCTCATCTTTGTTCTCATATACATTATTCATTCCATTATATAATAGATGTGTATAAAAATATTTATATAGGTGTGTATCTGGGGCCTGGATACCTTTTACAAATTTATCGTGTCTTGTACACGTACCCGTCCCCATACCCATACTGGTATCTATACCTGTACCCGTATCCGTACCTGGGCAACATAGAGTAAAATGTATCATGCTTGAACAGATAATTAAGGAAAACATGCAAAATTCCAGGAAAAAACAGGAAAAGGAAAACAGGAAAAAAAACAAAAATAAAAGGAAAGAACAAAAAGTAAAAAAGAAAATGATGGGGAAATAGGTAAATAAAATAAAAGAGTGATAATTCATTACCTATGAGGCTAAACCAGTAGTCTTACTGCCTTGGCAATATATGTTCAAAACCCACTAGCATAGACCTCATCATGTAAGCTACCAATTGAAGAGGTTTCCTGTCTTAGTGCACTTGTCTATTTTGTGCATATCATAGTGCTTAGGGTTCTTTTTATGATGCATCATCTTGGTGTTTGCAGGCAGAGGAAATAGCTGAGAAGCTTTGTGAATCAGTAGCAGCTAGTCTTGAAGGGAAAAAGCTGGGATCATTCACTAGAGTCTCTTCGACTGTTCAGGTTTATCATTTGGTTTTTTTCAAGATAACTGTTGCCCATTGGCTTTGTTTTGATAACATTGGAGAGCTAGAAGGCCATATTCTAATGGTGGTTGCAATTGCAGACGGCAATGGAAGAGGCCCTTCTTCGTATTTTAACTCCAAGACGATCCATTGACATTTTGAGAGATGTGCATGCTGCTAAGGAGCAAGGGAAACCATATGTTGTTGTTTTTGTTGGTGTTAATGGAGTTGGAAAGTCTACCAACCTCGCAAAGGTCAATTTTCTCCCCTGTAATTTTTAAAAGATTCTTTTGACCTGCTCAGTGTTTATATCTATTTATGCATTCTCTGTTTTACAGGTCGCATACTGGCTCTTGCAGCATAATGTTAGTGTAATGATGGCTGCATGTGATACCTTTAGGTCTGGTGCTGTTGAGCAGCTTAGGACTCATGCTCGTAGACTCCAGGTATGAAAAATTCTTGCAGAAGAATAAGCCTTCGATATCCTGTGTACTTGCTTGACTTACTAGTTTTGAGCATATATATTGTTCATCCAAAGATCTGATTGTTTCTTTGAAATGCTGTTGATTCTGGTAAAGAATACACTCTGATCTACTTAACACTTGTATATGTTCGCAATTCTTCTAAAGGAATCTTACTGTGTCCTGAGTTAACTAATTAAATTGGGTTAATTGATCGTGGACCCCCTGTAGTATCGTTGATTTGAACCTATGACACCTATAGTTTTATTGTTGCAGATAGACTTCCTGGGTTATTTTTATTACACTCCTGGGTTAGATTTTTTTATTACTCTTTTACCCTTTGTGAAATTTTGGCCGATATTTCCCCAAGGTGAAATTAGTGAGTCTTGGGGTAATAGAGTCAAAACAATTTAACCTTGGGGGTCTAACTGCAACAATGAAACTACGAGGGTGATAAGTTCAAAACGAGGGGGTCTATGTGCATTGTGCAATTAGCCCTGTAAAATTCAATTGAAGGAGACACCTTATTTCATCATTTGATCCCCTTTGCCTTTTATTTCTTTCTTGCAATAACTATCTGATGCCAGGTTGAGAGGAAGTTATAGAAACTTGATTCAATTTCTTTTTCAACCTTTCTTGACCTTGAGTTGTGCTCTTTGACTTGTAATGAGAATGATTGTTTTATGGGTTTGAAAATTTTGGAAAAAAATAGACTTCTCAACTGATGTCATATATATGTAAATGGATTTATAGATGAGTAGAATTTTACTCATGAATTGTAATGCTGGACACAAACAAAATTAGTGACCAACATTATGTTTTACAGATACCTATATTTGAGAAAGGCTACGAGAAAGATCCTGCAATTGTAGCGAAGGAAGCCATTCAGGAGGCTACTCGTAATAATTCAGATGTTGTTCTTGTTGATACTGCTGGAAGGATGCAGGTAAGAAATTATCGAGCTTCCCCATTAAAGTTGCATATTTAGCTCGAGCCTTGATTTTTATTGAAGGGTGACATTCTATGCAGAATTATTTTGCTTATGCTAAGCTTCTAATATATTTCAGGATAATGAGCCATTGATGCGAGCACTCTCCAAGCTTATCAACCTTAACAACCCAGATCTGGTTCTCTTTGTTGGCGAGGCCTTGGTTGGAAATGATGCTGTGGACCAACTGTCAAAATTTAATCAGGTATATAATTTGTCGTGTGGAGTTCTGAAGATTATGAAGCAAGAGCAGCATATTACAGAAAGAAGCCCCGAGTAATATTCCGTATTTTTTGTGCAGAAATTAGCTGATCTCTCGGCAGTGCCAAACGCGAGGCTGATTGATGGGATCTTGCTCACTAAGTTCGATACGATTGATGATAAGGTTTATACTCGTAGCCATAAGTTCAGTTGAGAGAAAAGTGATCTATATGCATTCATTCGTCTAGATTGAAAACATTTTGGTCTTTGATTTCAGGTTGGAGCAGCACTTTCTATGGTCTACGTCTCTGGATCTCCTGTAATGTTTGTTGGCTGTGGTCAATCGTATACTGACCTGAAAAAGCTTAATGTCAAGTCCATTGTCAAAACCCTCCTCAAGTGATAGTTGTTGCTATACCTAAAAATGTAACGTGTGTACTCTCGTCATGACTGCTACTTCTGTATGAACTTAATCCCCCATGATGTCGCCGGTCTTGGCATCGGAAATGAAGCAATAAATTGTGGCTTTGGTTTGAATACTTCGGTTCTTTCAGCTCCCTTTTGGTTTATACTTTAAGTCGGCAAGCCTGAGTTAGAAAACGTAACGAAGTTTACTTCGGAAGTATCTTGTAGTTTATTACGTAGTATGTGTTTTATTTCATTTTCACAGTTTGGTTCGTTGAGAACCTTCATAGTTTGGTTCATTGAGAACCCCATTACTCTAGTTGATTGAAACGTCCCCATATTACTTGGAAACTCGATTCCCGTGGTCCTCTACCTTGCAGTTCATCCGCCATCAGTTTTGTAGTTTATCAACCGTCAGTTTCGAGACAGATAAAACATTCAGGATATATAGATTGTAGCTCGTTACTAGAAGAAAGGGGTTGGGCAAACGGAGTTGCACATTTTGTTCCTCGAATATGATTAAGATGCCCAGACATTTCTAAAGATAAATTGTCTTAAATCATATATTAGCTTGACATCTTGCAATATTTGAACTTTCCAAAAAGAATCGCAGTTGACGCAAAAATGGTGGCAATAGAAAAGTTACAATACAATTAACAAGACAATCAGCTGTCAACATATGCACTATATGCTATGTGTAGCATATATATCACTTATAAAATTGCACTGTGCAACATTATTTCTGAATTTACTCATCTCCATCCTTCGAAAACTACGGCGAAATAAGACTTACTGCAACGCCATGCGTGTATTACTCATCTCCATCCATCAACAGCTTCTGTGGCGA